TTTCACCATGTTGACCAGGATGGTCTCGATCTCTTGACCTTGTGATCCACCCCCCTCGGCCTCCCAAAGTGCTGGGATTACAGGCGCGAGCCACTGCAGAAGTTGGTATTATAGGTTTGGGGTAGGCAGTGGAAAGTTACAGAAGTTACAGTTCAGGGCAGTTTTTGCAACCTGGGGGTGCGTGTCACAAGGTCCAGGTCACGAAGTTGGGTTATCAGTGCAGGCAGGCATGGTTGAGGCAGGAACAATGGCAGAATGTCGCAAGGTGGGTTAATTGCGCTTTACAGGAGCAGCCATTCTTCTTTCTGTGGTTTTCCTGTTACCTCAGACTCTCTGGCTCTGGGAGGCCATCCAGAGATGTGCATGCTGGTCATGGGGGTCGCCGTGGCTTGACTGGGGTACGGTTTATGGGGCAGCCAGTTCAAAGAACCTTGCATTCCTGTCTTTTTATATGAATAATATAAAGGAAAAAAGTAAAAACTAGAAAAGTGGGGGGGTCAGTGAATATTTTGGGGGTGGTACAGAGGGGCGACAGGCGATGTTCCTCAGGCCTTCTTTGAGTGGGATTGAGGCTGCGTGGAAGCCTAAAACTGGGAGAGAATTTAGTTTGCCGAGAGGTTTTGAGGCAAAGGTTGCTACTGTGGGTTTGTTAGGAGGAGCGTTTGCTGCACTGACGGATTGGGGATAGTCTGGATATGGTTTTGTACGAACTGAGAGACTAGTCAGAAGAGGCAAGGTCCAAATAAGGGAAGGAGAGAACTGGGTATGAGGGGGCCTGCTAATGAAAGTGGCCATGAACCCCAGTGAGAGAGTGGTCGGCTAGGTCCAGAATAATTATTTGCCTGATTAGTGAGGTTTGGGGCCCTGTCTTTAAGTGTCTTGATGGCTTCATATCCAAGGCCGGATTGATTTAGATAAAAGCAGCATTCTTCATTTAGGAACAGGCAGAGTTCTCCTTTTTCAGCACTTAGTAGATCAAGGCCTCAGCGATTTTGAAGGACAACTGTAGCCAGGGAATTAACATGGGCTTGAAGGACAGAAAGTGTTTGAGTTACATCTGTACTGCTGGCGGAGAGATCATTAGTGGAACGTGGTAATAGGCGTAGTAAGATCTGAGAAATCATCAGAGAGACTGCGGAATGTGGTGATGGAAATAGTAAGACCGACTTTACCTGTTCCTATTGCAGCAGTGGATACTCCCAATCCTACAAATAAGGGGACTAATGGAATGACTCTTTCTTGCTCTGTGGGTGTTACAAGGGGGACAGGGAGGTGCTTATTTCCTTTGGCAAACCGGATTTTTGGAGTAAGGAATATTAAGTTTATGGTGTATGAGAAAGCGTTTGGTATCTATAAATAGGCATTCTTTTTTAATTAACAAAGCTAGATATGAGCAGACAGGAAGAGGAGTTTGGAGGAGTCTGATGAACAAGGAGAGAGCAGCCAAGGGTGGTGTGAGACAGTTTTTAGTAGAGACAGGGTTTCACCACGTTGGCGGACTGGTCTTGAACTCTTGGCCTCAAGAGATCTGCCTTCCTCGGACTCGCAAAACGCTGAGATTATAGGCATAAGCCTCCACACCCAACCCTGTGGCATCATTGTTACAACTCAGACTGACTTCTATCTTGGTGTATTTTTAGCATTTGATACTTTAGGAAAACCTCAGATCTGCCATCATAAGTTCAGTGTGAAATATGAATTCTTCAATATCAAAAACGTCGTATTATACAGTAATACTGCTACTAAACTGCAATTCGGTGTTTTATTCAGAGATTTCTCTCAATTACAAGTGTTTGAAACACAAATACCAATTAGATACTTGAAGATTTTTTTCCATTGTTGACAACGTATGGGATAGTTCTTAAGCTCAGATATGTAGAATGCAGTCTGGTTTTTAAGTACTGGTAGGATTTCTGTATATCAGAAACTTGTGATCCTCAAATTTGCTTTCCTATTCAATGTGGTTTCTTAATTTGAAAACATGATTTTAAGTTATTTCTGTAATAAATATGGTTAGAAGAACTCTATGTTTCTTTGTCCTAGAAGGCTGACTGTTAGGTTCCACACAATATTAAAACACAGTCAACCAATCAAAAAACGTTTTAAATTGCCTTTGCTGTACTTTTGCCTCTTAATAATTCCCTTTTACAAGACGGTAAAAGTTTGAATTTCATGCTGATATTTAATTGCCATTGTAGCAGCCATTAGAAAGGGAGCTTTGAGAGGCGATTAGACCATGAAAGGTAATGAATAGATTAATATTGTCATTATGGAAGTGAGTTTCTTATTGCGGTAGCAAGCTCTTTATCATGGGAGTGGATTCCTTATCAAAGAACAGGATTGACTCCCTCTTGTCCTCTCTTGCCCTTTTGCCATGGGATAATACTGAAGGAAGGCCCCTGAAAGATGCTGGCCCGTCAGTCTTGGAATTCTCAGCCTCTAGAACTGTGTGCCTGTGAATTTCTGTTCATTAGAAATTATCTGTGGTACTCTGCTACGGCAGCACGAAATGATCAGAGAATTGGTATCAAACAGTACAGTGTTACTGTGCCAGACACCTGAATATTTGGAAGTGACCTTGGAACTGGATAATGGGTAGAAGTTGAAAGAATTTGAAAAGCAGGTTAGAAAAATTCTGTATTGCCATGAGCAGATCATTAAGGGCAATTCTGGTGAGGACTCGAAAGAAAAGAAGAGCTGTAGGGAAAGCCTAAAACTTTTAATGGTCACTTAAGTAGCTATGATCAGAATACTGGTATAAATATGGATAGTCAAGGCAATTCTGATGGAGTCTTGGACAGAAATGAGGAACAAGGTATTGGAAACTGGAGTAAGGGCTATTATTTTCTAAAGTGGGAAAGAACTTGGCTGAATTGTGTCCATACCAGAGGGCTTTATGTGCGGCTGAATTTAAGAGAATGTACTGGGACATCTGGTAGAATAAATTTCTAAGCAAAATGCTGAAGGAGATGCACAGCTTCTATTAAATGCCTGGAGTAAAATGTGGGAAGAGATGAAAGATTTAAAGATGACATTATAATTAAAAGGGAAGTAGAACATAAAGATTTAGAAAATCCACAGCCTGGCCAAGTAAACAACAAAAAAAGTGCAAAGGTGCAGCCAGCTGATTCTTTGACAAAGAGATCAGCATAGATAAAGAAGCCAGGTGCCATTCATCAAGACAATGGGAGAATGACACACACCCAATTCATTTCAGAGATCTCTGAGGCAGCCTCAAGAGGGCAGCTCAGTGTGCCTGAAAAATATGAGCATTCACTACCCTGAACCACCTTAAGTCTCCGCCCCCCAAATTCCCAAACAGTGCTCCTTGGTCACCTCAGCCATCGCTCAAGTGGGCTCAGGTGTGGACTGTGCCCCTAATTTGAGGAACGCAAGTGATAAGCCTTGTCAGCAAATTTATGTTTTAATACGTATTTGTAAACCTCACACAGTAAGTCTTTAAATTCATTGGTAAAGGACATCTTTAAAAAACACTTTATATGCTTGTTTCCAGAATTCACAGAATGGTAAACAGTTTGATTCACTGTAATAAGTCAGCTCACAATACATCTCTGAAGTAACATACTTTGATTCATCTTTTAAACGTGGATATGTAAACTCCTCACATTATGGCTTAGAACACGATGGCAAGGGACATCTTTGAAAAGCATGTCTTAAACATATGGTTAAAAAGTTCACAGTGTTAAACAGTTCAATTCATTTTTAATAAAGTGTCTCACAATGCATCTTTGAAATAACATGCCCAGATTTATATTTTCAGTGTGTATGTATATAATCCCTTACAATAACGCAATAAACTAACGATAAGGAACATCTTTTAAAAGTGTATTTATACATTTGTTTACAGAATTCAGTGTTTGGGAAGCAGCTCAATTCATTGTAATAAAGCAGCTCACAAT